GCGGCCGCGGCAGCCGGGTGGGGGAAGCCCCCGCCCCCAGCTCCCGCCGCCGCCGCCGCGGCCGCCGCCGCTGCCGCCGCCGCCGCCCCTTCCATGTTCTTGTTGAGCTCGTCGGCCACCAGGCCGCCGCCGTTGTCGTAGAGGAACATGACGGTGGGCTCGATCCAGCGGGGGTGGAGGAGCACGGAGGCTGTCATAGCCCGAGCCGCATGGAGAAGACCCCAGTGGCGCTGTTTTAAAAAGCCCCCAAGAAGTGAAGAGCGCGCCGCGCGGGGCCGGGGCCCGAGCGAGGGGGGCGGGTCGCGCCCTGCGGGGTCGCGCCAGGCGGCCGCCCATTGGCCCGCCCCCGGCCCGCCCCCGGCGTATGCAAAGCGGGAGGCTCCGGCTCGGCTCCGCGCTGGGCCCGCCGTGCCCGCCGCCGCCCGCGCGGTCCTCTGCGCCAGCTCTAGCTCCCGCCGCGCGGCCGCGCAGCAGTTACCCACGGAGGAGGCGGGGGACTAGGGCGGGTGGGGCGGGGAACACAGGGACCCCGATCCCTTCCTGGGTCTCTCGCGGAGGTTGGGAGGGGGCCGTAAGCGGCTGCGGTTGGGGTGCGACCTGAGGTCGTGGGGACAAGTCAGGTAAATTCTCCAGTGACCAGGAATGAGGGTTTGCCTTTGCCTTGGACTGTCCCAGGATGGCCTGGCGTGTTTTAGGGACCTCTGGGGCTGTTTTCTTTCCAGGGATGGATACCGCTTTCTGCAGCTAGATCCTACCAAGGATGTCGGAGCTTTCGCCTCGCGGAGATTTGACTCCCCCACCCCTGGGGAACAAGGGCAGGGCGTTTGTTTCCTGTCGGTTCCAGGAGAAGTCTGGCGCAAGGGTCCCAGGATAATTTCTCTGGAAAGCTTGAGCTGCATTTAGGAGCTCCCTTCCCTGTTCTCAGGCTCCAGAGGACAACTTCAGTTGGGCCTACAGACTCAGAATATCAGAACAACTAATTGTATCTCTCTACTCCCCTCATACACGCGAGCGCAAATTTGCACACACACACACACACACACACAGAGAGAGAGAGAGAGAGAGAGAGAGAGAGAGAGAGAGAGAGAGAGA